AGTCAGGGAAAAGGGGTTTTTGGGGACAGGTCAGGGTGTCAGCCTAGGATAAGCTGCCACCTTCGCATTGCCTTAGAGTTTGAGAGACACGTGCCTGTGAAGAAAGAAGGAGGGGAGGGAATGGTGCTGGCTGCTCCCCAGAGGGAGAGCATGCACACCCTGAGTCCATTATCTTGAGGTTTTTACCTCACTCTTGCAGGTGGGAATCTTAAGAGAGGTCTCAGGGGAGGGTTTCAGAAGACTATCCATCAGTTCTCCAGGTGTGCTCTTTCAGGGTCATGGTGTCCATTGATTGGTCAGTGCCAGGGCAAGGGGTCTTAGTCATTGCAGCTGGTTCTAGCCATCACCCACCTGGTTTTGCTGCTTTTGTTTCCAGTGAGGAAAGGCCAAGGGAAGAAAGGTTACTTGGGGGTAAGGTCTTTGTTTTCCCAATTCTGGCTTCTGCCAGGCTCTGGGGACTTCTGCCCTGGTGACCTCCTGCACCTGGCTGTAAATTGTTTGGCTGTTGTGTTCAGCTATCTGTCTCAGTTTCCCTATTCCACTCACCAAGGAATTTTCCTAGCTTCTCACTATCTTATCCCATTTCCACCTCAGAGACTTCCATCCTTAAAATCTTTTAGGATTGATGAAGGAGGAGAGTTTCTCTCTCTTCAGTAACTCCTTTCTGCTGACAAGGTTATTTTCCCTGCCTGTGTAGAGAATGGAAGTCTCTCTGTCTGATCCAAGGAGATAAGTGGATACGATCTGAGACTGGAACAAAGGGGCTGATCCTTCCAAGTATGGATAGGCTAGAACCCCGAAGCATCATCCTCTTGATATGGAAATACATCCAATTCAACCATCTAGTCCTGACAACGAGTCAATTCAGCCAAACTGTTGAGTCTCATTTCAGGAGGTGGTAGTGTGGATGGGCTTCTAAAGTGAGGTCTATACTGTGTTAGCAAGCATTCAGGTAATGAAGGTCACAGTATACATTCTATGAAAATAGAAAGATCACAAAAGTTAGTGAACACAGCAAATCATAAACTAGTTTCTGAGTCTGCAAGATTGTCAGTAGAGAAGACTTCCAAATGCAAGGCTTTTGCTGTAATGAAATTAAGCAGCAACAACCTGATAGATCCTTTTTTTCTGCAGTTTAAATATCTCTGGTGATGTCATCCCTTAATCAAGTAAATTCTGTATGGCTGTAGTTCCAAGTCAAAGGATGAAAGAAAAAAATGAAACAAGAGCTTGGAAGAAAACTAAAAAAATTAGGATTTAATTCAGTTTGTGGGTGACAATGGACACTGTCATTTCCACTGAAACACAATTTCTCTCCCTAAAATTACCCTCATTTTATCAGAGACTGAATTAAGTTCAGTTTCAATTTGGCCTGATCATTTGCATAAACACAACAAGAATAATGGATCTTTTAGGTTCTTTGAAATCTGCTTCTCTGGAATTTCAGATTGAGCTTTAGTCAGCCCCTTAGGGCACAAAACAGAAGCCAAGCTACATAGTTGTCATCTGGCTTTGCCTATAATACCTATAGGCTTGGGTAGATTCCTCAAGTTACTGAGGTCTCCAAAATGTCGAGGTTCCTTCCTTGCCATCTTTCAGGAAAGGAGCCTTCGTTCCTTACCTAGAAAGACTGTTATGAACCATGTGACCAAGCAAGGTACCAAGGTATTTCTGCAGTGGGCTCTTACTGGCTTCAAAAGTCAATCTTAATTCCTTACGGCTTTCTGGTGACATCCAGAGTCCAGGCATGACTCTCAGTCATGACATTCCAGACAAAGACTTGGTTATTAAAGCCACAATTGAAAACTGATTCTACTGAAGAAAACAGATTCTTCTTGGATTTATGCAAACACACATATTGCCCTGAAAATAATACTTGCTCATTAAGAGTTGCCAAATTTTGGAGGGATTAGGTAGGGAGAAAAATATAAATGCTTCAATATTGGTAATGAGGATATAATTAACTTATCATATTGCTCTAGGGAAAAAAAAACAAGTTTCCTTATATCTGGTAAACAAAAAGATTTTAAATTAGCAATATTTTGAATAAAGTCATAAGAATAATAATTATCTTCAGTTCATTCAGTCCCATATAACCAATTTTTGTTTGTCTTGATTATTTGCAAGTATGTCCAAGAATCCAGGTAGGAAACATACCACATGTAATATACAGATGAACACATATCACATAAAGACCATACACACAAAGAATGAATATATAAAGACTGTACACATAGTTTGGACTGATTTTTTGTAGAGAAGGCACAAGATTTTTCTAATTTGCTTTTGACAACTTTGAAGTAGGTTCGTAAAGGGGAGGGAAGGTCATAAATACTAAGCAAAAAGACCTGTTAAGACTCTCAATGAAAGAGCTTCAAGGACTGTTAACAAAAAGTGGAAATAAAGAAATTCTCAGTCCCAATCCAAGAAATCAAGCAGCAGGAAAGAGGCTGCGTGGCGCTGCTTTGGCCCCTTAGTAAGATCAGAAACCCAGGGACAGAAGATAAATGTTCCAGATAGAGGACTGGGAGTTATAGTCCACACCAGCAAAGAAATAGAAAAATATGGATGTTTACCCTGTGCCTGAGGGTGACCTTAACCCACACAGATAGGGGGCTCATACTACAGGAGCAGAGAGAAAAAGCCTGTTCCAAATCCATTCACCCATTTTTGAATTTTTTTTTGTCCATCTAGGTACATTTTTCCAGTTTATAGATGGCATATAACTTAGGGTCATCTTCTAGAGCCATAAAGCCTTAGGTACATGGATCCACTGTCTATTTCCCTTGGGAATAGTAAAACAGATCCAGCTGCAAGATAGTATTAAAATTAATGGTGCCATTGACTGGCCAAGCCTCTCCATCGCCCACTATATATTGGGACCAGGCTGTGTAACAAAAAAAGATTAGCCTTTTATTTTTGAGGGACTCAGGGTCAAATTTCTCACAGTTGATGAGTATGTATCGAAAAAGGGGACTCTTGAGGCACTGTGGACTGGTGCCCTACCTACGGAGAAATAGACACGTAGCAAGCTGAGAGTTAGAGATATCCCTTTAAGTCCTGGGCTGTTTTAGGCCATTGTGAGTGGAGCAGATACCCTGCTAAGCTGCCCCTGAGGCTCTCAGGGGAGTTAACAGTGAGGAAAAGATGGTTAGCAAACGTTCAGTCAGTCTCAAGATTAGCTTTCTCATGGGATGTTCCTTTGAAATTATTTTCCCATTTGGTGAAGTATCTGGTTTATTGGTATAAATGCATTTCACGCCGCTGAAAAAAGATAGTTGGGCATCATCAGTTTCAAAAGTCTCATCCTACTAGCTGACTCAGGGCAGAACTGATTGGTAAAAAACATATGTTGCCCCCATAACATTTACTAGTTGGGAGGGAATGGGTTCTGATTTAAAAACAGGCATTGGATAATTATTTCTGTCATTGGTACAGAAGCTTACTTTGAGGGAGGGTGACAGTTGTCAGGGGAAAAGCTGGGAATTAGGTAAATAAACTGAAGGGATTAAGAATTACAAATTGGTAATGACAAAATACAGTATTAGTATTATCCTGAATTGGAAACTTGGTTTCTAATTTCTACTCATCTTGACTTATTCAGATATTTTTACAATTACTATTAGGTTTATTTTGTGGACCATTTTGTTCTTGTATATTGGCTGAGTTGTAAAGTTTTGACCGCTATTTCCTTGTGGATTCTTATCACTCAGTTCTTTTTTCCCCCTAAAAAATGAGAATGAAAATTAAGAACTACTGAAAGAAAGGGAAGAATTTCCAATGATTTCTAAGACTTTATTAGCCCTAGAAATTTCAGATCAACATCTGGCATTTCAGAAGAATGCTAGAGAGTAGATACTACAATTGGCAGATGCGGAACATGGGGATATGGTGGGCCAATTAAGGGATTTAAGTATCCATGGATTTTGGTATACACTGGGGGCCTAAAACCAGTCGCTTGTGGACTCTGGGGAACAACTGTAATTTCCCCAATTAAAGAAGAGGAAAATGAGGCTCGGAAAGATCTATACTAACAAGAAGTTATTAGAAATGGAATTACAGCTCAGGTCTGCCAGATTCCAAAGACTGCTGTTTTCTGTTATCCTATCAGCTCCAGAGTGTTTGCCATCTAATTCTTGCCTCTAGATTTCTTTATACCCACTCTTTTAGCTGAATATAACTCTAATAATTATTTACCTTGCAGGTAAAATTTGATGGAGGAACTCAAGAGTTGAACAATTTTAGTTTTAAGTAATAGTTAATAAGTTTAGTAATGAATACATGTAAAAAGTGATTGTTTTAGAAACTGAAGTTATGACCCACCCTGACTTCAGGAGACCACAGGCAATTCCGCTTTGTGCCCCAGGTGCACTGCAAGCCATCAAGATGGTATCTGAGCTATTGTGCTCCAAGCAGAGACATGCCACCCAGGACACAGATAAAGAATCACTGTTCAGTTGATGAAGGGAAGCTAGGGAAAGTGCCAAACTGCATCTTTTATCTTCTTTAACTTTTTCCTGAGTTCCAAATCCCTTACATACACTTTTTCCTCCTTATAAAAAAAAAGGTGGCTTGAAATGAAATGTAAGACCGTCTTTTAGGGTACATAACCCACCATCTTCTTAGATCACCAGCCATCTGAATAAAGCATCCATAAAGATTCAATCCCTGTCTCTACTTATTGGTTCTGGTGGTGAAAGGTAGCACAAACACCAACTTTTCTGGTTTCAGAATTTCATTAGTGCTAACTTCAAGAAAACCAAATTCTGTTATCAGGAATTTGAATACTACTAAGCTCTTAAATTGGCATGCTAAATTTTTGTAAAGAATATTTGGTTGTAATGCCATTTTTTTTTCCAACAAGATGTAACACATCCATATATCAGGGACTGAAATGCATACAAAGTAAACTGCTACGGGTAAAATAGCTCCATATGTATACAACATTTGAATAAAGGCTAAGGAAAAGAAAAAACCTTTGACTCTGGAATTTCTTGCAGGCATTCTGCAAAGGCTCACTGATCTTGGAACACCTGGATGTCTCTTATTGCTCCCAGCTATCAGATGAGTTTATTAGAGTGCTGGCATATTACTGCTTGAACCTCACATCTCTCAGCATTGCTGGCTGTCCAAAGGTATGTGCAGAAGCCAGAGCTCAAAATGTTGAACTGAAGCACTGTCAAAGAACTCAGGCAAGGGAGCAGTCAGGCTTGGACTCACCATAGGACTTACTTTTCTTTGCCATGTCTGAGGTACTCATTACACTTTTTCTTCTTTCCCCAAATTGGAAACAGCTTTATGATTTCATTTGAGTGAAAGTAGAATTATCAAAAAGTTAAAAACAATGCTCACAAAAATACAAAAATGTATCAAAGATTTATTTAATTTATTAATGATAGAACCAACAAAATGGTAAAGCCTGTTCATAGAGTATTTGGTCGAACTGAGCACTTATAGGAACTGAAGGAAGAATGTTGAAATATGGTTATAGGGTTAGACCAAAAATTGGTTAATGACTTATAAGGTAAAAAAAAACCTATAACTTTTATCCATAACCAATCCATAACCAAATCTATAACAAATTATTTTTGTCTAGTAGAAACTATAACTCCCCTGGACAAAAATATAACAAGTTATAGCATATAACTTGTTATTCCCTTAGTTTGGGCCCTAATAGTAAATAGTATGTCAAACAAAAGCATAGTTCCATATAGAATTCCTCAGGTGAGCATGTTAATGTTCCAAGATGACTTCAAGTGTTTCACAATTTCTTTTGGCATCTGTTTATAAAAGAACTATGTACTCATTGTAAAATATTTGTACTACATATAAAAGCATAAAGAACAGAGTAAAAATTCCTTGTCACACCACCATCCAGACATAACCATTGTTGATATTTTATACTTATTTTTGTAGAATTTTTTCTATATACAGAGGTTAGAATTATAGAAGGTTTCTATTTTGTCTTCTTTTTTAAAAAAAAGAATAGAATCATATTTTCCAAAATACATTGTAACCTACTTTTTTTTCTTAATATACTATGGGCATATCTCTATGTCAAGAAATAGAGATTTGTGCATCTGGATTAATATGGCAGACTCAATATACATATAGAGTTTGTATATTGAAAAGCTACCATGACTGCAGAAGAAGGGTGAAGAGACAAGAGCAACAAAACGTGGTAGCTTGAAAAGAGATGGACTACTTTAGCAGATGTGAGACAGCTTGGAATCCTAAGTCAACAGTAGAGACAGCTGAAAATAAAATTGACTTACACCAGAGTCTCCAAGCTTGACAGCACAGTGTACCTCTGGAGCTGAGTTAAGAGAGTGGCCAAAATAAGGGAGATGGGTTAAAAGTTCTGGAGAAATAAATAGATCTTCAGATCTCTTCCCCTATTCCACACCTCTGGACAATTGCACCTCCCCACCCTCACCAGAAGATTGGGGATGTATTTCTTAGAATCAGATATATCAATCTTGGCATTATTGATATTTTGGATGAGACAATTCTTTGTAGTGGGTGGTTGTACGGGTAGTGTGTTTAACAGTACCCTTGTCCTCTGCCTACTATATGTCAGTATCTCCCAGCCCTGCTACACCTACAGTCATGACAATAAAAAATGTCTCCAGATATTGCTAAATGTTCTCTACTATCTGCTCTGCAGATAGCAAAACAGAGGGTTGCTGGTCTGGGAGACACCATGTATAACAGAGCAATTGGGTACAAAGTGAGAATGGAAATTAAGTGACTAAATGCTGGATTTAGAGACACTCAAGCACTTTTTCTACACAGCATCTAGAATCTGACTGCCAGATCTTTCCCTCCAGGCCGAAGATTGGACATCTCTTTTCTGGGGACTCTGACTATCCCCGGACAAAAGACCAAAAAATACTGACATTTGAAGTTTTCCCAACAAATAACCCAATTAGACCACTGAAGCTTAAAATAGAGAAGGCCTACCTTATGCACTCAGACCCTGTAATTAGTTTGTAGCCCTCCACTATTAATCTTGAGACACAAGACATAAGAGAAAGTCTCTAAAGTGGATAAAGACCATAAGAAATTTACAGGAAAAACTTGGTGGAAGCAAAGTATGCAGAGGAAAAAAAACTAAAAAAATCTTTTGAAAAAAATCCTCAGAAATTGCAAGATCGACAATGCCGTTATCTTCTATTTTATACACTGATGGGCTTCTCTTTACTAAAGCATTACCCAAATGCTCAAGATGCCCTGCATTCTAGCAAGTCTAAAAATTTAATTTCTCAGCTGTTTAGTTTGTGTGGTGAGTAGATTTAAGAGTGTGATGCTAGAACCTCCTAATTCCTCCGTCGTTAAGGAGGAAGAAGAGGTGGTGGGGAAAAAGATGTGGTAAATCATGCCAAAATTAATCTAGAGAGTTCACAGCAAAATTCTTTTTGTTTAATAATGTATTCATTTCAAACTAGGGAAGCCAGGTATCTTTCTGGTGAGCATCGCCTGGTTCTAGAAGTGAGCGGGGTCAAGAAACTCAGCACACTAACAGCACTGACCATGTGCCCTCTACAGCCTGAAAAGTCACAGCTCATAGGGGGCTGCTTTCACTGCACATGGACATGTGGACACCTGGGCCACTGGGAACTGCACTGGCTGTGAAGTGGGTGCCTGTGGAGACTGGGCTTTGTAGTGGATCCACCAATTAGGGAGGAAAGTAAAAGAATGAGAAAAGGAGATTCCAGTGAGAACAGGAATTGAGGCAGAGGATATTTTTGTTTTGTTTTAGTTTTTGATAAGGAGAAACTGAGGAGATTCTGTCTGTAAAATGGACACTGTGTGAAAACTAGAAACTAAGGATGATGTTACACAAATAAGATGTTGTGAGATGAATCACTCCACATCAAAGATCTAGGATAACAAAAAGGGAGTAAATTATTTCAGAACCTCAGTGTAAGGGAGAAGGGTTTAACTTTACCATCTATGCAGATTGATGAGTATCCTGATTCAGAAAATGAGGTGACCATAATTTGGGCCAATCTGAATACTCCTCACCTGAAACCGTAAGGCTGTAGTCGAGTCTAATATAGTCCACCTACATTTATTTTGATGAGCCATAAAACACCTTAGTGTCTGGCTCATAATTCTAGACTAGGTTTCCCACAAGCCCATGGGTCAATGTTGAATGGCCAGCCACATTATCCATCTCCTGGAAGGTCAGTTCTTCCTTGCAACTAGCTTACCTCCTGGATCAGTAAGTAGTACTCTGATCTTTATCTTACCCAGCACTAAAATGAGAATAACAAAATCGCTGCTCTACTGGGCTCAGATGAGGATCTTGTATTTGGGAGTTGAGAATGTAGCCAGTCATCTCTACCTCTAGTTCCCAGTCCCCATAAATCCCAACAGTATAACCTCAGTTACTGAATATCTTGAGCTTCTGATCTATAGGAAGTGATGGGCTCCCTTTCAGCTCCCCTAGTATCCATGAAGCCTAGCACTCTGAACTCCACCTGGACTGGACTTTTCTATGACCTCATTTTCTTTTCTGTCCTCTACAATTCTGAGGGCTTTTTTTTTTTTCAATGACATCAGATCCTCAGAGACACACAAAGTATGGCAGGAACGTCTAGATGCAGGCATATTGTGAGAATCAGTTGCAATGTTAAAAACCTTGATCCTGAGCATGTTCTGGAAAAAGCGCATGCTTAGACAATGACATCTATTTTTCCAAACTCAAAAAAGTATACATTTCAAAACTGAAGGGTTTTTCTGCATAATTCTCTCAACTTTATGTTAAAAACAAAAGTCAAGTCTCATGGCATATTTTAGAATGTTCAAACATTTAAAGTAAGAAATAAATCCAGTTGAAAAAAAATTCCTTTGGAGAGAGTAATCCAGTTGATTCTGCAGTCTCAGTTCAACCATAAATTCAAAAGCTTGATCTTGAGTAAGTAAAATAATCTAAGAAGTGGAGTTGAATTACTTGTGCAAAATATCTGGGCAAACTTTCAAGATATTGGAACACTCAGCAGAATTTCTCGGAGAGAGATTCATGTAGTCTCTGTGGCTTCTGCTCTTCTTCCTTTCCCTGCCGCAAACTGTCTGTCTCACTTGATCTTTCCCAGAACCATGTTACTTCACATGCAAACCATCAGCTATGTCCAGGCCCCTCCTGTTAGCAATCTGACTCTATCTACAGGTTAACTTCAGGGGATACATAAATATTTTAGTTTTGTAACATGTGATGTTACAATAATATTACTGCAACATTTAATAAGATATTTAAATTGATGTGACAGGTGTTATAAAGGACATTTTGATGAAGTTTCCCATTCAAACAAGGACTCTAAAAAGATCACAAACTCTGTTGGTGTCACTTGAAACATACATTTTATTGGTTTGAAAACAGTTAAATCACTAACTTGAGTTATAAACCTATTGATAGGGGAACTCAATAGATAAAGATTTTAGCTGTAGTCATAGTTGATAAGCTTCAGTGATTAATGTATGTGGGAAGCTGTTATTTCAGGTACTGGAATGCATGACCTAAGGGACTCCAGGAAGTTAACAAGTATTTCAGTTTTTGAGCCCCAGGGAGTCAGCAGGTGTCTGAGCCATTGTGTTGCGGGGGGCGGGGTTGGGGAGCATAGGAGGCTGCTGGACTGCAACTCTTGCCTGATTAACCTTTTCCCAAACCCCTTACCTAAACTTTCCTTTCCTATGAAAAGGTGGGCTTGAGACAAGACCTTAAGATGGTTTTCAGGGTACATAACTCATTGTCTTCTCAGATCTCCAGCACTTGAATAAAGTGCCCAGAAAGAGTCAATCCTTGTCTCTACTTATTGGTTCTGGTAGTGACAGCCCACACGAACACTGACTTTACTTTTCCAGTTTGACTATAGTGCGACAAGTGTCCTAATTCTATTTGTTAGGGATTAAATATTTGTGTCTCCTCACTGCCTCCCCCCCCCACAAATGTTTATGTCTTCCCACAATTCATATGTTGAAATCCTCATATCCAAAGTGGTAATATGAGCAAGTGAGGCTTTGGGGAAGAAATAAATAGGATGAAACCCCCATGATTGAATTAGTGTCCCTATAAGAATAGGAAGAAACCAGAGCTTGCTCTCTCTGCCATGTGAGGATACAGCAAGAAGGTAGCTATCTGCAAGCCAAGAAGATGGCCCTCACCAGACACTTAATCTGTTGGCACCTTGATTTTAGACTTCTCAGCCTCCAGAACTGTGAGAAACAGATGTCTATTCTTATAATTACCCAGTCTCTGGTATTTTGTTATAGCAGCCCAAACGGACATGTACACTATTCCTTTCGGGGATGAAGTTCATCAAAATAATCAGTACTTATTTTGGCTGTGTGTTCAGATTACTAACTCAGCAATGGAGATATTATCAGCAAAATGCCATTATCTGCACATTTTGGATATTTCTGGTTGCGTCCTGCTTACTGACGAAATGCTTGAGAACCTTCAGATAGGCTGCAAACAACTGCGGATCCTTAAGATGAAATACTGCAGACTTATTTCCAAGTAAGTATGCACCTAAATATAAAAAGTTTTGAGAACTACTTTCTGAGAAAACAGAATGTATGACTATGGCATTCATAATACATAGTGTCTTTCAGACTTAGGGAGTTTCATTTTATTTTTTGCCTAATTGAAGCCAACATTTTAAGCTGAACCAAGAGAAGCTCTGTCTAAAATCATCTATGTGGTTTTATATCCCTTCCTTGACCTCAGAGATGTCCAAATGATCACTAGCTCTTTCTCTACTTATCTCTCAAAAACGTACCATTCAGAGGGGTTTAGAAAATACTCAGATTAAACCAGTTCCCAGTTGAGTATAAATTACTAACAGTTATCCTAAACCCCATCACTCCCAAAGCTATTTGCTTGATAGTTGCTATTCATTTAAATAGGGATTTCCTATACCACCTAGAGCTTGGAGTAAGGTATTCTGATTTGACCATTATGGACCAAATGCCTGTTCCTTCAATTTGCAAAATGTTTCCAATGAAATAACCGCTGGTTCAATAAGCAATCTATAAAGGTAGAAGATCTAGGGTGTCTACCCTGTAAGTTTTTAAAATAAAGCAGTTATCTGCTCCATTGTTTAGTTTTTTCCTATTGAATGAGAATAAAAAATGTGCAAGTACTTTAACTGACCTGATGAAGTGAGCTGTGAAGCATTCAAAATGAGAAATCTTGACCAATCCCTGAAGATCAGATTCTTTTCTGCAGGCTGGCAAAATAAATAATATTATCAAAGTATAAAGTACATAATGTTCTCCAAGCATGTAGATTCCTCAGAGAACTTTCTCAGTTAAGCAACCCCAGCATGAGCTGAACCATGAAAACTGGCCACTTGAGGCCTGAGGAAGAAAACAGTTTCTGATCCAAGGCTATGTATTAAAATGAAATGAAAATGAAACAAAAACTACAACTTGTAAAATAGGTACTCCCTCTGAGCCCAGGCCTGCAGGACCAAAGAAGAGTTGAGACTCACCTCTTCCTGACAGGTCTGGAGAGGGCTGAACATGAATGTTATTTCCTAGGAGTCTCTGCCAACCTTGTCATATGATTAAACAGCCAAATTTGGGCAGATGGCAGTGAATGAATAAGGTAGTATACAAAAGACTTAAGTCTGTAATCCTCTGATTGTATTTTGCCAATCACTCTTTGGGAGGTAATATTTTGAACTCTAATAAGTAGGATTTTTTAAAAAAGATTTTATTTATTTAGCAAGAGGGGAAAGAAGGGAAAAAGAGAGGCAGAGAAACATCAATGTGTGGTTGCCTCTTGTGCACCTCCTACTGGGGGCCTGGCCCACAACCCAGGCATGTGCCCTGGCTGGGAGTTGAACAGGTGACCTTTAGGTTCCCATGCCAGCGCTCAGTCCACTGAGCCATACCAGCCAGGGCATAAGTGGGATTTTTAACTAAAATGAATAGAGACTTTCTGGCAAGGGTCTCTCTGAATCTAATCATGCTAAAGGATGTTAAAGTGTGATAAATGTGGTGTTTAGTCAAGAAGACCCTAGATATCTAGTACTATTCAAATCCTGCCTTTGATTACTCACTCCTATTGCAGGTCACTAGAAAAGAAATATGCAAAGAAAACAAAACAAGGCAAAGTAAGTTTTTTACTGCTAGCTGGGCTTGGCCACCAAAACCTAATGCAAAACTCTGTTTAACTAGCTGGATCTACAGAAATTTTTTTTTCCTTAAGTCAAAAGACCCCTTTTGTTTTCTACCGCCAAGCCTAGCTGCCCTATCAGCAAGAAGAGACTTGGAGTCTGACTTATCTGCACATCTCATTGTCTAAGGCCAAACACCTTAGTTTTCCTTATAGCTCCACCCCTGCTAGGTTCCAGCAGGAAAGATCTAGAATCTTCAGATTCTGTCTTTGTTTAACAGTGGAGAAGGCCAGGCTCCACAGCAGAGTGGCTTGGAGAGTCTCAGCATTTGGACTAGTAAGGCTCCACAAGCAAGTGTCTTGACTTTCAACATCTAGAACAGAGTGCTGTTTGTCAGTCAAGGAACTCCCAAGATAAGTTCTGGCCACATGCAGCTGTTTGGGGTCAGCTCTAGGGTCTGTACAGCAACTCCTTTCTCCACTTAGATCCTTGAGTGGAATTGGAAAAGCTGCAAGAACCAAGGTCATGATGATATCTAGTCCATACCTATTCTCACTCTAAAAGAGCAGTTGTTTGCGCTTTCCAGAGCAATGTGGGTCCCTCACCTGCAGGGGCTTTGTTTTGCCTGGGTGAAACCAAATATTTGGTAGTTGAGATACGTATTTTTCTTACTTGGTAAGAGGTTCAATGACACTGAGTCACAAAGTACTGGACCCCACACATTCAGATCCATTTGAATGTGAAAACATTGTATCATGTAGCCCTTAAAATCTAATTACAGCAATCAGAAGAAACTGGTCTATGGACAAATTCCCTCATACTCGGTAGAATCTGAAAATACTGTATCAGCTTTGCAAATCAAAGAGGTCTGCTCAGCCTATCCTTTCTGACCAGAGGAGTAGCAAACTTTTGGTCAGTGAACAAACTGGCTGTATTTCTTTGCAAGAGAGCTTCCAGCATCAGATAGGCGGTCATTCTGCCAACCCCAGAGCTTGAAGGAATTCCAGAAAGTGATTTCAGAAGCCCCATGTGGAGGAACAATAAAGCTTCCTTTAATTCAAGGAGGAAGAAGTAACAACTATGATTGTTACATGATGAGTAAAGAGATTCCTTGAAGGCCTTCTTTAGCAGTTGCTGGCAATTAAATTATTACCCAGGCACCCTGAGAGAATTGTGTTGCTAGGAAAGAAAACTCATTGAGTTCACCTTTCCCATTAATGGAAAGGTCTTTGTGGAAAGGCCTATGGGATCTGGAGTTATAATACTGACATATTGTTAGTATGAACAAATAATATCATTTAACAATTATTATTTGCCATGTACTGCACTAAATCCTATTTTGTTTATTATCCCATCTAATCCTCACAAATATCCTATTATCATAAAAATGAAGAAATTGGTTTAAACAGGTTAAATTGGTTTAAAAAGGTCATATTAAATACTAGGCAGCCATACTTTGTGCCTAGGTCTTAGTCATTACTATGCCCCCCCTTTTTTTTGGCATTAGATTCATGATTCTCAAGCTTTTTTAAAAAAATGAATTTATTGGGATGACACTAGTTAATAACTTATAAGATTCAAGTGTACACTTATTTTGTGTGTGTGGTTTTATTTGTTTACTTCTTACAGAGAGGGGAAGGGAGGGAGAAAGAGGGAGAGAAAAACTGATGTATTATTGCCTCTCACGCTCCCCCTTCTGGGGACCTGGCCCACAACCCAGGCATGTGCCCTGACTGGGAATCGAACCAGCGACCCTTTGGTTTGCAGGCCAGCACTCAATCCACTGAGCTACACCAGCCAGGGCTCAAGTATACAATTTGATAATGTATCGCCTATATATTGCATTGTGTGTTCACCACTTAATCAAGCCCATATATATATAATTGATTATGCTATTAGTTGTCCCATTTTTTTCCTCCTCTTTATTCCCCTCCACCCTGCACCTCACATCCCACCCCCAGCATTCCCCCTGCTTTAGTTCATGTCCATTGGTTGTACATATCAGTTCTTTGGCTTCTCCATTTCCTATACTATTCTTAACCTCCTCCTGCCTCTTTTGTGCCTACTATTTATGCTGCTTATTGCCTGTACCTTTTTCCCCATTCCACCCTTCCCCCTTCCCTCTGTTTTACTGTTTATAGTTTTTGATTTTCTTTTTCTTAGAGAAGTCTCTAACAATTCATATAATAAGGGCTTGGTGATGATGAACTCCTTTAACTTGACCTTATCTGGGAAGCACTTTATCTGCCCTTCCATTCTAAATGATACCTTTGCTGGATAGAGTAATCTTGGATGTAGGTCCTTGCTTTTCATGATTTTGGAAAGTCATGAAAAAGCTTTGGAAAGTTTTTTCCAGCCCCTTCTTGCCTGCAAGGTTTCTTTTGAGAAATCAGCTGATAGTCTTATAGGAACTCCTTTGTAGGTAACTGTCTCCTTTTCTCCTGCTGCTTTTAAGATTCTCTCCTTATCTTTAATCTTGGGTAACTTAATTATGATGTGCCTTGGTGTGTGCTTCCTTGGGTTCAACTTCTTTGGGACACTTTGAGCTTCCTAGATTTCCTTGGAAGTCTGTTTACTTGGCCAGATTGGGGAAGTTCTCCATTATTTTAAGTTTTCGATTTCTTGCTCTCCCTCTTCTCCTTCTTGCACCCCTATGATTCAGAAGTTGGAACATTTAAAATTGCCTCAGAGGTTCCTAAGCCTCTCCTCATGTTTTTGAATTCTTTTTCTTCATTCTGTTCTTGTTGAAGGTTTATGGCTTCCTTCTGCTCCAGATTGTTGAGTCCCAGTTTCCTTCCCCTTACTGCTGGTTCCCCGAATATTTTTCCATGTTTCACTTTGTATAGCCTTTACTTTTTGCTCCAATTTGTGACCATACCAATTCAGTGAGCATCCAGACTACCAGTGTTTTGAACTGTACATCTGATAGGTTGGCCATCTGTGCATCACTTAGTTCTATTTTTGAAGCTGTGATCTGTTCTTTCATTTGAGCCATTTCTTTGTCTCAGCGCACCTATTAAGTTTGAAGTGGTGGAGTCTTAGGTATTCGTCAGGGTGCAGCCACCCAGGTCTCTGCATAGTGACACGCTGTCTGTGGGGGAGGGGTCCAAGAAGGGACAATGCCGCTTGCTTGGCTCTCAGCAGGCTTTCAGTCATTTCCCCCACTATCCACAAGCTTAGTGCTGATTCTCAGATGGGTGAGTTTGTGTATCTTCTAGTACCCCATGGGTATCTCCAATGGACTCTCCTGTGAGGCTGGGAGTTTTTCCTGCCACCACAACCCCCACAGGTTTTTACCTCCAGTGGTTTTGAGGCTTTCTTTTCCCACACTGGAAACTGGATTGCACTGTTTTGCTCCCCAGCTGTTCCTCCTGGTTTATCTGTACACAAATGTGGGACTGCCAGGTCTGCCAGCAGCTGCCTCACTCACCTGGTCCTCCAGCCACTGCCTTGCGTCCTCTCTGCCCCAGCTACCCATCCCTGCCCCTCCTACTGGTCTGGATGAATGTTTCTTCTTTAATTTCTTGGTTGTTGGACTTCCATACAGTTCAATTTTCTGGCAGTTCTGGTTATTTTTTGTTTTTAAATTTGTTGTTTTCCTTCTTTTGGTCATGTGAGGAGGCAAAGTGTTTAATCAAGCTTTTTTAAAGCTCTGACATTCATTGGACTTGATCAATAAGGGTAGGGTAGGCACATGCTCAATTTATTTGTTGATGCATAAATAAGAGGGGCGGTTGATTATGAACAGTCTCTAGTATCAACTCCAAATGTCCCCCTCCACCCTTTTTAGGTCTACTCTAGAAACTAGAAGGAAATGTGAGCAAAGGTGAGTAATATTATTGCAGGGGAAGCTTTGAATCCACTTTAATATACAACTTGGTGTAAGCTGCTGAAATCTCTTATTTTGGCTCTTCCTGCTAGGTTTCAAGGTGGTACAAAGAACTGTAATACACCCTTAAATAACTTAGTGCCTACTTAAAAGGAAAAATGACAAAGTTTAAATTATAAACAATAAATACCATGAAGTTATGTAATAGAAAGAAGTTAACTCTATGATCAACTTCCTATAGAAGTTCAGAGGAGGAAGGAATAGGATTTGGGTCTTTATAAGAGGCTGGATTGGTTTTGAGTTTTGAAAGATGGATCAAGTTTGAGAGGTAGACATGAGGTGAAGGATAATTAGCATTGGCACTCTGTTGCCTAGGACAGTTTTACCCATTAGAAACTGATGTTGTCAGTTTTGCTTCAGATTCCCCCAACATTTGGTATTATGTTGTGGCAGGTCCTTGAGTGGAAACAATCTCACAAAAAAACCACCTTCAAAGACATGGCAATCTGAACTCCACAGAATTAAAAAAGGGGAAAACTGTTCAGGAGAAGAAAATCCAAAAGCTAAAGATATAACACTATTATTTTTATGTAAAAATATCCTACTAAGAGCATCCTTTTATTTGCTAGAAGGGATGCTGCCCCATTCATAAATTGCTTAGTAAAGCCAATGAGATCTTGAAAAAAAAATCCTAGTTAGAGGACATATAAAGATTATATAATAAGTTTAAAATGTAGAACTACACTTAAATTAATGTAACAATTACTTTCATTCAAAGTGTTCTTTAAACTTGTATAAGTTTTGTGTGAATGCAAATATATAAGTCAAAACACAATGTGGTAACAAACAGAATTAGCAATGCTTTAGTTGTCTTCCTGTTTAGTTACAATGATTTTAATACTTCTATGACTTGATTCAAGTGAAACAGCATTTTAAACAACTGCTGTATCTCAGCCCTTCCTGATTTCATTGCCCTACTTAAACTCACATAACCATTGAGCACAAATTTAATTCCAACATATGGTAATACAGCCTTTATATCAATGACTCAGTTTCCAGACTTTTACAATTAATAACTCAATATACTATATGGCAACAGTAGGCAAAGTGGCCCCTTCATGCACAAACATTACTCATTTCTGATCTTATAAAAGTCACTACTCATTTCCTTTTTAGTACTGGTCTCAAGATTCAAACCATGTCCTCAAATTACTTTCAGGTTAAATATACCTTTTTCCTGATGTTATGATGTTGTGATTTATAAGAAATGTATATTTGGTCATTCAGATGACCAAACTATCATTCTCATATATGGGGCGGGGGCCAAAAAATGGAATTTGTTTATAAAAAATTGTGTATTTATTCTCACATGTTTAAACTTCAGTCATCTTTAAAGGACTCTCCATTTGATGTGATACACCTATTGAGACATTTTTTCCACTGCTCAAAATGGATTTTGAACTTGTTGATTTTGATGCCTTTAGTGTTTCTGCCGTTTTTGTTTCACCTCCCCTGCATTGGCAAAACGTTTCCTTTGAGGGTTTTTGTCATCCAGGGAAACCAAAAATAGTGTCTCAGGGCTAGATCAGGTGAATAGGGAGGGTGAAGAATGTGGTTCAGGTCAGTTTTGGTCAAAAACTGCTGAAAACTCAGTGCACTGTGGGCAGGTGTGCCTGTAAATCACCCATCATGAAATGGGAAAACATGTTGAAAGAGTCTTCAAAAAAACCTACTGAAGCCAAATGCAGCCTCTTCCAACAATGCTAGCCGGTACACTGATACAGCTGTGTTCCTTGAACACTTACTTAGTTGGGGGAAGCCTGTACTACAAGGAGCTCACCCTCCAGAAGAAAATTCCATTTTGGGGGGGGGTCCCTTCCATAGCTCCCCAAATCCTTGGAATTTCCTGAGTGGTAAGAGCAAAGGGAACATTTTTTTAATTTGGTTTCTTGTCCTCAGTTCCTGAAATCATTTCAGAGCCATAAAGGTGAAATGGGTGTCTCATTATTCATAACAAGACTGTGTCCACCACAACTGGGTTTATGTTAATAAGCCTAAGGATAGGGGCTGGTTGCACAGGGAACCAACCATGAAGGAAGGGGTGAAACCTTCAGTTCCATACTCTGATTTCCAAGGAGGGAAGAGGAGCTGGAGGTTGAATCAATCACCAATGGCCAATGATTTAATCAATCATGCTTGTGTAATGAAGTCTCCATAAAACCCCAAAAGGACAGAGTTCAGAGAGCTTCTGGGTTGATCAATGGATGGCGATTTGGGGAGAAGGGCATGACTGAAGATGGTGTGAAAGCTCTGCACTTTCCCCCCATACCTTGCCCAATGCATCTCTTACATCTGGCTCTTCCTGAGTTACATACTCTGCAACAGCAGTCCCCAACCTTTATGGTATCAGGAACCAGTTTTGTAGAAGATGGTACAGGAGATGGGGCTCAGGTAAGCTTTGCTCTGGGCCTGGTTCCTAATAAGCAACAGACTGGTGGGTTAGGTACCCCTGCTCTATAATAAGCCGGTGATTCAGTAAGTAAAGTTTCTATGAATTCTGTGAGAAGATCTGGTAAATTAAATGAACCCAAGGAGGAGGTTATTGGAAACTCTGCTCTATATTGCCATTCAGTCAGAAGCCCAGGTGACGACCTGGACTTGTAATTGGCATCCAAAGTGAAGAGCAGTCTTGTGGAACTAAGCCCTTAACCTGTGCCATCTGATGCTATCTCTGGGTAGACAGTTTTAGAATTGAGTTGAATTATAGGACACCCAACTTGGCATCCGAGAATTGCTTGGTGTTATGTGGGACCCCCCATGTTAGATTTGGGGTCCAGGAAAACTTTTACATATTCTCTTTGCTTCCTTCCTTTCTTCCTCCTAAGAATGACAGTAATAGTATTTTGTATCATTTTGGTCATAGACAACTTTGAGAACTTGATAAAAGTTATAAACCCTCTCCTCAGATACAAAACTGTATAAATTTTGTAGGAGTTCAAGGACCTCCCTTAAGTTCATCCATGTATCCAAAAGGTATCTGTAGACTTTGGGTTTAGAGCTCCTGCTCAGGTGCATGGTTAGCCTTCACAGGTTGGCTGCGAAGGGTACCCCCTCATCTAGGACACTGGAAATACTAGACGGCTCACTCAAGAGCATTATAAAGTTGCTCTCAGTATTCCGACTCAGTGCAATTTCCTTACCCATTCACTGTGTCTGTTAATCTCTGAACTGGCTGAACTGGAGAGCTACTGAACTACTTCAGCCTTGGGATCTAATTATTAGCAACACCCTCCTCCTCCACAAGGCAAGAAAGCTGTGAAAAGTAAGTTCAACTCCTGCCAGTGAGTTCTTTGACTCCCAATTTGATCTAGTTTGATAATTCTGCACTAGTGATTACTTCTGCACCTAGCTAATGCTAATCACTGTTATTACAGGGAGGCAGCTAAGAAAATGTCATCTATAGTTCGGCAGCAGGAATACAACTCTAACAACCCTCCACTTTGGTTTGGCTACGATCTTGAAGGCAAGCCTCTAAGAGAGCAACAGGATATAGCACTGCTTAAAGATACAGAATTGACAGCGAAAGAGTCAACATACAATAGTGAAGAGGAAGTAGTATGATCTTCAACTGAAGCAGAAAGGACAAAAAAAATCTAGAACTGGGTGACTTCATTTGATGCAAGTATTTTTATTAGCTGGATCTTGATGGTGTAAATGGCAGCAAATCATCTGATTATTCCAACTACAAATATTTCTAAATATATCATCTGGCTAATAATCATGATTTTATTTTATTATTTAAAAAAATCCTCACTCAAGGATATGTTTATTCTTTTTTTTTTTTTTTGAGAAAGGGGGGGGAGTAGTGAGGAGGGGGAGAGAGGCTTCTATGTGAGAATGAAACATCAATCAGTTGCCTCCCATGTGCTTCCTAACTGGGGATCGAGCCCACAACCTAGGTATGTGCCCTGACCAGGAATCAAACCCACAACCTTTTTGGTGCACAGAACAATGCTCTAACCAACTGAGCCATCCAGCCAGGACTAATAATGATGATTTTTAAAAAGCCAAATTAAATACTGCTACTATTTATTTTTACTTTAGTTTTTTTTCTTTTAATTTGATGAAGTGGCTAAATACATTTTAATATATAACAAGGAGTGGACTTCTCTCTTTTCTGTAACATCTGGTTAGAAATGAGGAGGAAAATCTCATTCACATGAGCTACAAAACTGTAAAATATTTGAGACAACATTTACCAAGAAGGGTACAGGACCAACGTGAAAACATAACCATAATATTTTATTAGAGGGCATAAAACTAGTTCTGAATAAATGGAAAGATAGACCATGTTTGGAAAGAATCATTAACATAATAAAAGTGTAATTTTTCCAAATTAATACATAAATTTAATGTCATTCCACTCCGCCTCACAATGGCTTTTCTTTTTAATTAGACACAATGATTTTAATATTCTCGTAGAAGAATAAACGTGCAAGAATTACCACAATATTTTTGAGAAAAGAATAATGAAGGAGAAATTGTCCTACCAGATGTTACAACTTACTCTAAAACTCCTGTAGTCAAAATAACAAGATATGGCATAAGAACAGACATAGACAATAGCTCAATGATGTTCAAATGACTTTTTTTTTCTGATTGTTCCTGTCATTCAAAAAAATTTACATGAGAACATTTTAACCCTCATTTTTCCTCATCTTTCCCTTTTACTTTAATAAAAGTAAATTTACTTTAAACCAATAGTTTTGAGATTATCAAATTCGAGGTTATATTTATATAAAATAACCCTGAGAGATGAGATGTTTTTGACGAGAAATTTAGAAGCTTCTCTTTAGAAAAGAAGGCAGAGATGGCCTTATAAGTCAGAGTAAATGTCTGAACCAGGGCAAATGACTTTAAGGATCTAGGAACCTTTATTATAAAGGACATAAACATACATTTTTAAAGGGAACAAGGCTTTCTTGTGATTTCCAGGTACCTAACAACAAAAGACAAAAACATTTCCATTTCCTCTGTTACTTATCTCTTAAATGGAGTTAATCACTATCTTTTGTATCTCCTGAACACAGAATCGAGCCATGCCCTTGACCTACTGACCTGTGAACTGATATATGGGTGCTATTTTAAGTCAATAAGTTTGTGGTAATTTGTTACAGAACAATAATAAAACTAATACAATAGCTAGTACAACTTTTGAAGCAGCACCCCCCCCCGCCCCAAGACAGCTCACCAACACTCATCCAATTTGTTATTTTCAACATGAAAGTAGTATTTACATTTTTGTAGTCATGGATCTACTAATCATTGTTAAAATTATAAATTATAACTCAAACCATCCTTAGTCCTGCAGTTTCAGGGACTGAAACCAGCTTTGACTTCTAAAACTTACAGTGCCTTTTGGGGCATCAGCCTTAATCCACTTTTCAGGTCTGCTTCCTTGATTCATGAGTCCTGAAACACAAAATGCATGAACTTATATCTTGAGTGACAATAGCAATATTTGAGTACAGAGATCCTAAAAATACATCTCTAAAACTGAAAATACTTTGGAACAGCACAAAATCTTAGTAAAGATATAGTTGGGAAAGAGTTACAAAGAGGCTACCTGGGCTTGTTCCTTCATCTTCTCAGAACTTTAAAAGGGAAACTACTCTGTTTTTTATTTGTATTTTGTTGTATACAGGTTTTTAAAAAAGCTTTATTTAAGCACTACTGCCAAAATAAACACCATGTATTTAAATGTAATAAGTTTTGGTGTATGTTAAAAAATCCTTGAAACCATGTCTTCAATCACGATAATGAACATGTTCATCACACCTACAAGTTTCTTGTGCCCCTTTCTAATCTGCCCCTCCTGTGCCTCCCTGTCTGTCACCTCTAGAACTCCCCCCTTCCTTAGCAATCACTAATCCACTTTATGTCACAATGTATTAGTTTCGCTTTCTTACACTTTAATCAATGGAATCATACAATATGTACTTTTTTCAAAATCTAGGTTCTTTCATTCAGCATAATTATGTTGAAGTTCATTCACACTGCAGCACATAGTAGGTAGTTTCTTCACACACGGAACTCTCTGGTGGACTCTAGCAGCCCTGGTCTCCTTAGATGCTCAGCTCAGTCAGTTTCCTCCACTGGGGAGACTGTTTGGCTCTGCCAGTTACCCTCCCTGTCCTGCAGCGTGGAAATTCTCTCAAGGTAATGGGCTGTGGCAATAATAGAGCTCACCTGGTTCATTTCCCATCTCAGTTCTTCTAGTTCTGCTTTTTTTCTCCTCTCAATCACGGTAATTAGGTTATTACAACATCTCTGACACTCCCTTGCTTAATTCTGTACTTAAGAATTAAGTCAATCTGAACTGAGGAGAGTTGTGAATATAATATCTCAATTCATCATACAAATTTTCTTTGTAGAAACCACGTACACAAATCAGGCGATCCTTTTCTTCAGTATAGTTTCCTTCCCCCTTTTTGAGAACCATCTGAAGTTCCCAGCTGATGAAAAAGGTGCTTTGTACCATCCAATCTTTATGTCAAGTACTTCTTTGATACAAATTCTTCTCTGAATTCTTGCATCTTCTATTTAATCTAAGCCATAATCTTATCTATGTCTTACAGTTCATTGCATCTTTCCCAGAAAACAGCTGAGTATTCAACAACTTCCTCTAGAGTTTTTCCTTCTACATCCCTTGTTATATTTTCAATATCATTATGACCCCACTTCTCATTAAACTGGTTAAAATCTCTCATTCCAATTGGTAAATCCCTGTTTCAGTAGCTTCTCTTTTTCCTCTAACTCTTCATCATTAGGGCTTCAGCGTTGTCCATTTTAATCTGTTCTATTTATGCCTGTGCTGCATTTGGTAGGTCAGTATTTTGAGATACTGCACCCAGTAGTCTTACCAAATAACTCAGAATTTCTTTTTCTAGTGGTTCAAATAAACATAGAAGAAAGAACTCAGAAGGTTGAACCCTGGTTTCTCTAACTTTATTGTATTTTGCACCATTTAGCATCAATAATAAACAAAAAAAGTTTCCCAAATATCTAAGGAATGTCACAATGTATTAGTTTTGCTCACTCAAGAACTCTTCCTTCTATATTATTTGTCATCTTCCCAGTCATGCATATCTCACCTATGGAGAGAGAAGCCAATCTACCTAATTCCTTCTGCAGCACTACAGGAAACACAGGGTGCTGATGCTACTAACAAAATGAAAATGCAAGGGATTTTAGCTTAGAGACAATACTAAAAATAAACAAACAAACAAATAAATACAAATAAAAGACAGTTTACAAAATTCCATTTAGGATCCTAGAAATATCTTTCTATATCTTGCCACTAAGTAGTTTACTGAAAGCTCTTCACACTTTGGTCCGAATCTGTGGAGATTCGACTCTAATTTGTAAAGTTTATAAATTCCTTCCTAAAAAATCTTGTAACATATGTTGGAAATTGAGGGTTCAGAAAACTTGTTCTTTATTTAAATCCCCTTGCAAATGAAAATCAGGCAATGTTTCTTTGACCAAGAAATGGGAAATGCCCACCCTATCCCCAGGTAGTTTGGCTTCTATTAAATGGAGAGAAAAGTTTCTTCTCAGGACATATTTTTAAACACCAGCATTTGCACTTTAAATCTGCCCTGTCCAAATCTCCCAAATATATACATCTCCAAGTTCTTTTTATTTTTTTTTATTTCCCCTTATACCTAGTTGAGAATCATTAGTCATTAATTAACCCAAAACCACCTGATCTAATCAGCACTGGCTGTGGAAAGACAGGGCTCCAAGGAGTAATTTGAAGAATTTAGTTCTCTGGTTTTAAAACAGGCTTGAAAAGTTTCTTGGCTGAGATGAGCTTCTTTCTGTGATCACCAACCCCCAATCCTATAATAGACTTTGTTTACATTTGGTTCAGAGGGATAATTCTGGTGCTGCCTAATTAGCAGCAGATACACTTCAGTGCGTCATAGTTGGATTCCCTCTTTCACATTATAAACTCTATTGACCACCCACTATGGGAAGCACCATGCTAAGGATTTTAGGGAGCAACAAAACATGTAAAAACACATGCTAATACCCTCAAAAAGCTTACCAGCTGGGTAGGAAAATAAATCATACATTTATGAAACATGAAAATAATTATTCTTAAGTCTTATTTTTAATGCATATATTTCACAAACCAAATCCCTTAAAGCCACACACAATTCTATAACCATAACCAATATTTTAATGTTAATACCCTTTGTTTACAGTCTTCCCTTGACAAAAGTGCAACCCGACAGATCTTAACAAATTTTTACTGACAAGAAAGTATTTTTCAGCTAGTTTTAATAGTACTTATCACTGCATTTTCTCTCAATTTAATAGTACTTATCACTGCATTTCTCTCTGGAATAACAAAGATAATCATATTCTAGGTTTTGAGCATGTATACAATTAATCAATTTTGCTCAAACTGATTAATTCTATACATGCTCAAGTCTTTTTCTTTCTCAAATCTTCTGTCAAAACTCATCCACTGAATTTTTCATTTCAGATACTGTAGTATTCATTTCTATTTCTAGAAATTCAATTTTGATCTTTTTAATATTTTTCATGTCTTAACTTTACTCCAACATGCAGAATAGTTATAGTAACTTTTACTTTCCTACACTGCTAATGCTAATATCTGTGTCTGTTCTGGGTTTCAATTGATACTCTCTTCATTATGGGTCATGTTTTCTTGCCTCTGCATGTCTGATAATCTTTGCTTGGATGCCAGACATAGTGAATTTTATTTTGTTGGGTGCTGAATATTTTTGAATTCCTGTAAATCTTTAGCTTTGTTCAGAGATGCAGTTAAGTTACTTGGAAACAGTTTAAACCTTTCATCTCCTGCTTCTATAATTCGTTAGGCAGTTCTGGAGGGATGCTCCATCTAGGGCTAAGTGTTTCCAACTACTGAGTCCCTTACCCAATGCTCCATGAGTTATGATTTTTTCCATTCTGGCAAGTAGCACAGACATTATTCCTGGACCTGTATGAGCACCAGATTCTATTCCCTCTGGCATTCTGTCCTAGGAACTCTAGCTGTCTTAGTCTCTGTGGACTCTCATCACAGTCTCCTCCACTCAGTGAGTGTGCTGGACTCTACAGTAGATCCCTCTGTCTCTATACAAACTATAGCCTGGAGACTCTCAAGGCGGTTCGTTAGCAGGGGCTTATTTTGTTTCCCATCTCTCAGTGATCGATTTTTTTCATTGCCCATTGTCTAGAGTCTCGGAAACTGTTTTTCATGTATTTTGTCTGTTTAAAAAATTTTGGCGTTGTTGGTTTCAGTAGAAGGGTAAATAAGTCCATTTTACTCCTCTTCTTATCTGGAAGCCTTGTTTCTTTCTTCTTTCCCCTCTTTCCCTTTCTCCCTCCATCATGCTGTCATTTTTTTTCCTCTTTAATTTCTTATTTTGAAATAATTAAGGACTCACAAGAAGTTGCAAAAATAGTATAACAAAGTCCTGTGCACCCATTATCCAGTTCCCCTAATAGTGACATCTTATATAACCATGGTACATTATCAAAACCAGGTAACTGGGTTGGCAAACTACAATTTATTAGACTGCTGACCTTAGATTTCATCTCTTTTTGGACACTCCCTTTTTTGTATGTTTTAAGTATACTTTTATGATATTTTATCACATGTATAGGTTCATATAACCATCATTATAATCAAAATACTATCACCACAAAGAAAGTCTGTAATGACATCTCTTCATAGTCTTATCTTCCCTCTTCTTCCCTAACCTTTGGCAACTACTTGTCTATTCTCCATTTTTATAATTTTATCACTTCAAGAATTTATATAAATGAAATCATACAGTATGCAACATTTTGAGAGTGACTTTGAGAGTGACTAAGGGAATCGTACTCAGCACGATTCCCTTAAGTTTCATCCAAATTGTATGTATTAATACAGTGCTCCTTTTTATTGTTGAATAGTATTCAATTGTATGAACATACCACAGTTTGTATAACCATTTACAGGTAGAAGGATATTTCAGTCATTTTCAGTTTGGGCTATTACAAATTAAGTTATGAATATTTGTGTAAAGTTTAAAAAAAAATTTTTAATCCTCACCTGAGGACATGCTTATTGATTTTAGAGAGAGGGGAAGGATAGGAGAAAGAGAGGGAGAGAAACATTGATTGGTTGCCTCTCATACACACCATGACCAGGGACCAAACCCGCAACCCATGCATGTGCTCTGACCAGGAATTGAACTCATGACCTTTCAGTTTACAGAATGATACTACAACCAACTGAGCAAAACCAGCCAGGGCTATGTAAAGGTTTTTATGCAAACATTAAGTTTCATTTTGCTAAGATAAATGGCTAGGAGTTTAACTGCTGGGTTGCATGGTAGTTTAATTTTAAACTGAAATTTTAAAATTTAGGTAGTTTATAACCTAGATTT